GGGGAAAACCCCCCCCCCCCCCCCCCCACTATCTAGGTCTTTATGTTTAATAGAATTAACAAGATTGCATGTTGAGGTTCAGCAAGTTAGTACAAAGAGTAGATAGATCCAGGCAAAGATAATGAAACACTCAGTTATATAACTTGCAGACTTACCTGGTAGCATTTTCTAGTACACTTCTGGTAAGAAAGCCCATCCACACCCCATGTCTTTTTCCAAGTATCCACTCCAAGATTCCTATACATACACAGGAAAGGAGTCTAAGGTGACTGTAGGCATATTAGTTCATGTGTAACAAACACAGCCAAGTACTGTATGTCATACTTGTACAGCTTGGATCAGAAGAAGGCAAAAAACAAACTATTAGTGCAAAAAAAAAGATAAATATCTCACAACACTTAACTGTGTCGTATAACCCAGTTATTAACAAAGAGCTAATTTAATTTACCACTGGAGCCAAATCATGACTAATAACATTTAGTTATAAGAAAGGAAAGTACTATTTACATAGTATTAATAGTTTCATATTGATACATAAAGCCAGTTTTAAAGTCCATTTCCACCTTTGTAAGTGATTGGCAATTAGTGTGCTACCACACTAATTGCCACTTACAAAGGTGGAAATAGACTTTAAAACTGGCTTTATGTATCAATATGAAACTATTAATACTATGTATCTATACATCATCACTGCAGAGGTGGTCATTGTACATGTAAATAGGACTTTCTGTCCTAAAAGCAGGTGGACAAAGGCTCTATTATATGGCATGAGTAACACAGGGATTTTAGGTTTAAGTAACAAAGTTGTCATATGATATGGTGGACATTCCGGTGGGGATAGACCCAGAGGTGTGTATTAACCCATTTTTCTACTTTGGATATTGTTGAGGGCAGGAAAATGTTAGTTGCTATTTTTTTAGGCAATAGAGGAAATCATTTCACTGTGGATTTCAACAAGTGGAAGTTCAATCAACAAAAACTGTGCTTTATTTAGTATATAGCATATATAAATATATATTTAGTTTATTAGTAATACACTGATGTATAAAAACCAGTGAAGTAGTATGGAAGAAAAAGGGGAAATGGTGACTTGTATCAGTACAAAAAAAAAAGTCTGATGGAGGGCTGCTTGTTGACTTTAAAGTGACACTAGACTCAGGAGTTCAACTATAAAGATGCAATCAAGTACCTTAATTATTAACAAAAATGCAGCTTATTTATGCATCACTCAGCTGGAGATCCTCAAATCATCTCTGAATTGGTGCTGACACTGTCCTTCCTTCTGGAGGGTGGCTACTTTTGTTCCCCATGGTCCCTGTGTGTGTTGTAAAGTAGCCACTGCTTCAAGCTCACTCCTGTGATGGATTACCATCTCACAATGAGATTGTAGTCTATCATGGGAGGAATAGTTACTGAGGAGTGATACACAAATAAGATACGTTTTTATTAATAGTTAGGGTACTTAAATGCATTTTTAAAGGCGTAACTCTCGAGTTTAGCGTTACTTCAATTACAGCAAACCTAACAAAAAGAATGTAGAGTCCTTCGTAAAAGAGTCGAGGAAACTTAGAGAGTTGAACCAGGGACCAGGCAGCACCAACTGGATTGGCTCAGTAAGGAAACCTCCTGTGTCAACCATACACCTCTAGATTGCTCAGTGGGCAATCCATTCACCATCACTCTTGTCCAATTAACAGGTAGATGATCCAGCGCTGTGGCAGAGGTGTGCAAATCACATGACGTATTGTACAAATTTGCCAGGTAAAATAAAGTAATACGTTTATACAGTAAGTGACTCACCTATGTATCCTCCATCTAAACTGAAACGTTCATTCATAGTGAGAGTAAGGACACCCTGTAAAAAGAGCAGAAACACTAAAGACATTTACTATGCACCTTGCTCACATCCTGCCTCCATTCTTGACTTGATTATTCAAAACTATAAATGTATTTTACTTTAACGTAGAACTAAAAGCTCCTGCATTCCTTTTTCTTTTTGCTAGCCAAAATATCTATTGCCAGGGCATGGAAGGCATCACATGTCCCTTTTACGTATGTCAAATCCAAACTCAACTGGATCATGGTTCATGAAAAGTTATATAGCATCCTACAAGACAGACGACTTCAGTTTGAGGCAGTGTGGGAACCCTGGCTACAATACTTCGGTATTTCTGATGCTGTAGAATTATCGCTTTATATAGGGTACTAGCTAGTTGGGGGTTCGGTGTCCGGAGCCTATGACTTTTTCTTCCCGTTATTTCTTTCTGTTCCTATTTTTTTCTTCTTCTTTACCTCTGTGTCTCCCGGGGACCAGGTGGGATGTTGAGAATACTATATTAGGAGTACCTTGTTATGTATTCCAGTTAAGAGTGCATGTAATGTATTATCTAGTGCGCACTTGGTAAAACGCAGTTAGTTTTTATTGGAGAGATTTTTCTCATGAAGACGCTACTATTTTTGTTGCACTCCTACTGAGTTGGAATATGATTCATGTTCATTTTGCTCATTATTGCCCTTACGGGGGAACCATAACCTACTTTATTATATTCTTTGTATATTTGAAAAATGTTCTTTACTAAAAAAACTTTGAAAGATAAAAGCTCCTGCATAATAATCTAAACAAGTAACAAATCCAATTACTAGAGATTTTGAATAAAGTAAACAAAAAAATTCCTTTACCCTTCCAGAATGAGCCAAATCCACCTTAATTTGTGTCTCACAAGCTCCCACTTCCCAGGCACTGCAGCTCATAGTAGGAAGGTTTCATCAACAGAGGCAGTGCTGTCAACCCAGAAAGCAGGACTAGCTGTGGCCAGGTGCTGAATGACGAGCTACAGGCTTATGAATCAGCACAGACAATCCTGATAGCCATGCCCCCTCCAATGTTTTTTCATCTCACTGTAATGCAAGCAGACATAGCCTACATGAGACTGACAACTCTGCTCTGAATGAAGAAGCATTGCAGCATCGTTGCTACTTCATCACAAGAAGCTGCATTAGGTGGACACGGGGGTAATGAGAAAATTGTGCCTTGGAACTTACATAATACTTCCTCTCTTTGCTCTCAGGAGCCAAAGATAGAGGGAAGTGAAAGGAAGGTGAGCATGTACAGAGCGTGTGTCTGTTGAACATTTTGCTTTGCCATGTATAGGCAAACCACAAGATCACCTTTTCCTATACCCTGACAACACCAATAATAGAGGCTTGCATAAGTTAAACGCTCACAGGTTTCATTCCAGTTAGCATTCCGATGTATCCAGCAAAACTTGTAGACATGAAAGCTGTTTTATTATTTCTTTGGAAATTCACGTTGACCACGAGGGGTTTAAGAAGCTCAGAGACTATCCATGAATTGTTCTTCACATCCCAGCTTAAAAAAAAAAAAAAAAACTTGTTAATGAACGAAATTTGGGAGAGGACCCCACTGATTGCAAAGGAAGACTGTGTTCCCCCTGCAGTCAGATCCACTTTTTAGGAATAAAAACAGCTGAACTGATTATTGGCAATGGGCAACACATACTTATGTGGGCTCATGAACTGCCAAACTTTGAGAAGCTTCAAAATGTAAATCAATATATTAAATATCGGACATTTAAATATCAGAGTTATATGTCTATCGAAATGTTCTTACTCACCCCAGAAATAATCCAAAATCCAGGTTTCTTGCATGAAATAACTTGCCTGTATATACATAGACACATATCAGATTTTAAAAATAGTTCTCAACAACTTGCACTGAACTGGAACAAACAAACAAACACTGAAGGTTACCCGAGGTATCTTGTGCCACTACTGATGTGCAAACAGAAAAGACTTCATAAAAGATGTTGAACAACATAATTTCCCCTGGAATGAAATATAAAACAGAATGGAGTCATACTTTGAACCTACATGCTGAAATACTAGATGCAAGCGCCCCACTATACAAGGCTGTAGCGTGGTGGGACCCCAATAGTTCATTACTGAGCCAAGGTCAGTTTGTACCGCTCTTACACAAGAATGTTGCTACAACCCGTAGTAACCTCCCTATTCAACAATAGGTACTGTCAAAGTTAAAAACAAAATGTGCATTTCCCAAATAAAAATATAAAATGAGAATATACCTGAAGATTCCAGCCTAGGACACAGATACCAACATTATCTATAAGGAAAAGTACCCATGTTCTCTGGGGCAGCTCGATGCCTCCTTTCATAATC